AACCCTGAGCCGGTGAGATTTGAACCGCTGACCTGCTGATCTAGCAGTAGCCTGCAGTGCTGCATTTAACCACTGCGCCACCTTGGCTCTGTGCATTTAAGGCAGCCGTTCTAAAGCAGGACAGAAGCCAAAAAAAACCCCACCTCCTGAACGAAAATATCCCATTAAAGGCGTATTTTTCCACCCAAATGTTGAAAGTGTATATATTATGACTAGGGTTTCCTATCCGGGTAGACCGAGGGACATTCTTGACCGATCTTTGTCGCCCCCTTTTAAGGTCTCCGGGTCAGTTGTCCATCTGGCACTCCCCGTCGGGTGAGACGGGCGGAGGGGCCTCCGCTCGGGGAGTGGACAAATGCTCCAGTTCGTAACGCCCGTCTTGCGAGGTGGGCTCGTCGGCCGCGCCCGGCTGTTGGCTTTTATTCCTCTTGTGCTCGATAATTTGCTGCAGCTGCTGTCCCGCGTAGCCCGGTTTGGAGGTGAGCGGGCAGCTGGGCACCACGATGCCCAGGATGTCGGAGACCATGTAAGGGCGCAGCCAACCCACTAACGGCGTGCTGCCGGGGTTATAGTGCGCCTGCTTGTGATAGAATAGGATCCCGTCCACCTGCAAGGAGAAACGGGAAGAAAACAGCTTGGTTCCCGGGGTTTCGGGAGAAGCCGCGGGGCGTCCAGGGGAAAGAGGGGCAAAAAAGTCAAGATGGCGACCGGAAACGCTGAGATTTGGAACTCCCGATTTAAGAATTTGGATGATAGCACAGGAGAGTTCCTCAACTTATGACCATTCGGAGCAAGAGCAGGACTGGGGGGGGTGGGGGTGGGAAGTGATGTATGACCAGTCCTCGCATTTACGACCGTCGCAGAATCCCCACAGCCACGGGATCAGAATTCGGGCGCTTGGCAACCCGTATTTAGGACGGTTGCAGCCTCTCAGGGCCACGTAATCACCATTCCCCCCCCTACTAGAAGGGGGAACCTCCTAGCATTATTGGGGGGTAGTTTTGACTTTCTCCACCGGGGGAGCTGTGTTTGCGCCGAAAGCCCAGCAGGGGGAGCTCTATGCTTTTGAGAAACCTATATGGTCAGAGAGGGACTTTGCTTAAAAGCAGAATTCAGAAGAACAAGAGTTGGAAGGGACCTCGGAGGTCTTCTAGTCCAACCCCGAGGCCCTAAACCACTCCAGACAAATGGCGGTCTAGCTCTCTTCCTAAAAAAGAACCCTCCAGTGATGGAGCACCCACAACCTCTGGAGGCAAGAATACCCAGATGAATACCCAAATAATGAGTGAGCTGTTTGTATGTATACGATTGCTGTGGCCCGCCAGCAACCAGGGGAGCTGGCCGCAGATTCGGACAGTGAGGAGGTTGGGGACCTGGGCCAGTCCTGGAGTCTGGAGAAGGCTCTGATGAGGGCTCTGTGTTGGAGGCAGAGAGGGGGCCAGGGCTGTCTGACAGTTATCAGCTGCCTTCAGAGTCAGACATCAGTGAGGCAGAAGAACAGCTGGAGCCTGTTCCCACTGTCCGCAGAATTGCCAGAAGAAGAGAACAGCTAAAGAACAGGGGTCGACCTGGTACGATGAATGACCCCTCCCAGAGGAAATAAAAGAAGACCGAAAAGGGAGTGGAGTTTGCACGAGACAATTAGTTTGCTTAATTGGTTTCATGCATCTCTGAGACTCCATGCCAAGTTCTGCTGATCTCGGCCTGGCAGCTCTCCAAGCCAGATAAGGTCTGTGACTGTAAATCCTCCCTTGAAAGACTTTGCAGGATGTGACTGAGCAGAATTCACAGTAAATTAATAAAAGGGTTTTTTTGTGTGTGTTGGGAAAAGGAGTTTGCTTCATGCTCTTGGGAAGTCTATGTCAGGACAATGTCCTTGCATTCTCCCTTGGGTGTATTTCAGTCCAGAGGTATGCCAGTTACCTTGTGCCAACACAGAGAGGCTTATTCTCTACACAAACAAAGCTATTTTTAGAGCCGGATCACCTGCTTATTCTCGCCTGTGCTTTATAATTCTGCAGCGTAATTTTTAGTGCAGCCAATTATTTCGAATCATCT